TCACCCAATCTGTAGGCCCAGCTCATGTCGAATGTGACGGCACTCAAACTACAATTACAAGAGTGAAAAAGTTGCGAATGTGGGGTCTCGTTGGAGAGACAATGTTGCGAAGGTGAGGCGGAAGCGAAGCGAAGCGTGGGGGTGCATTTGCTTTGTGTGTCCTGCTGATCGAGGCCTTGTGCCGCGCCTCAAAGCTTGCTTAGTCGGTGATGAGCGGCAGTGCTGGTCGTGTCCGGTATGACAGGGGGATCGGCCCATTGCACTGGACGTTTCTGTTGGCAAAGCGAGCCGAAATGAATGGATGGGCGGTGCTTCATCAGCGAGCAACAAGGTAGCTTGCAAAACGAGGCCTTCCTTTTGGGGAGGGTCTCGCAACGAAGCGTGGACTTGAGCCCTACGAACTCACTTGGGCAAAAGCGGCAAGACCTTCGTTGATATTCTGACCTGCATACAATGCTCTGCTCCTGAGACTCTGGTACGATTCGATAGGCAGCGCATCCACTCCATCCTCGTTTGCATACGGATCCCTATGCCGCTGCGCCCCTACGCGTCTGGCCGCATTCCTCGCATCCAAAAGGCCAGCTTTTGTAAGCTGCACAGCATCTGGACTATTCTTGATGACCTGATTCGCCAGCTCGAGAGCTTTGGAGAGGACTTGGGATTGCGCTAGATCGTCCGAGGTGCTTGGAGAGAGGATGTGCAGGTGCGTGACGAAACGATAAGTGGAGCATGCTTGTTCTGCCGTGATCTTTTCTCCGGTGAGCAATAGTCGGGATGCGAGGTGCTGCGTTTTCAAAGGCCAGCGATTCGGAATGGTAAAAGTCCCGACAATTGGACACGTGTACAGGAAATAGGGCGAATTGTTGAAGGCGGGGGCATTCAGCTTTGACATGGAAAAAGTATAAAAAGGCGCACGGCTCTCCCTCATTCGGACTCGACTTACGTGTCCTGCCACGGCGGCAAGTCGAGGAATACCCCCCTGCGCAGCTACTACTCCCCTGCTTACTTCCGGCAAAGCAAAGATGGAAGCAGAGGTAGCGACTACGAGATCGCAGTTGAGCTTGAAGCAGCGATGCATAAAGGAGGCGGTTTAGCGTGCTGGATCAGCAGGCTTGCCCTCTTTACCACCTGAAGATGCGAGGCAGACAGACGCAGCTCGCAATGCTTAGGCGCAACATCGACTCTCGACTTACCAGTATCTCGACACCTCCGCCCATAGCTATGCCATGCACCGCAGCAATGACGGGCTTGTTGCTCCTCCTCGAGCTGAGTGCGCCAAACCCACCAGCCCTAATCTTTCCAACAAATTTGTCCGTCTCTTGTCCATGCTGCAGCGCAAGATGATCACCATTCGCACCGGACGTGCTCTCGCGTGGGAGAGGGGCGCGCTTGGACCAATCTAGCAGATCTTGACCTGCGCAGAATGCTCGTCCGGTGCCGGAGATGATCAATAGCCAGAGAGAAGGCTCAAATTCGTACCAGTCCAAGATGGAGTAGAGATCCTCTTCTAGCGCCTGGGCTTGAAAAGGCCAGCGAGCAGAGGCGATTCATATGAGTCACGTTTTGACAAAATGGGAAGAAGGGGGGGGAAAGGGATGGAACATGACTCACATCCGTCATGGCATTGAGCTGCTTTGGTCTGTTCAGACGCAGATGCAACACTTTTGGAGTGCTCAGGTCGACGATGAGGTGGGAGCGGACGCTGGGACAGGGTGAGATGAAGCCAGACATGGTGACCGTATGATGATGCTGATGCGTGTGGAGGAGTACCTGTTGCTTGCAAGTGATCGATGCAGCGCTGCTGTCGATATGTTTGGGATGGGAATGTGAGCGATGGGGTGATGGATGCTATGATGACCGCTCGTCCTAGATGCTGTTCGCTGGCTTCTGGATCGTGGCAGTCATGAGTGATCCACCCAGACTCGACTTGCAAGTCCTCCGCTGCAGCAGCGAGGTAGAAGCCGTTAATCACGAATCTTCCCCCGCACATCCCATGCATCCTGCCTGCTGTACTGAGCAGTCACAATATTACTTGTGCGTCACATCCACAATCACAAATGCACCCGCGCCGCGCTGCACACCAACG